ATGCCTGACTTGTCTCATGATAAATCACTGTAAAATGAATTTCTCATTTAGCTGGCTTATTCAGTAGAAAACTTTTAACAAATTAGATTTAAATTTCAAAATTAGTTCGAACTGAATGACTTTTAGACACTCCTTCCTTTCATCTAGTTTTCATGTAGAACTCCCTGATAGGGATGACTGGTTGGAGAGAACACGCTGGTGGCTGGGGGAACTTCCTGCTCAGGGTCACCTCTGCCAGCACAGCTGGGCTTGCTGTGCTCCTGCTACTAGGGAGTGAAGTGCCGGGTCTCATGGAGGCTTCATGAAGGTGACCCAGAGATGGGCAGAATTTCTGATTGGAGGATTGCCTGCCAGCATCCACTGGCACAATCCAGTGTGCCAGATTCTCTAATTTAGAAATCCTAGATTTCATTTCACTCTCTTTTTTAAAAGATTTGTTCTATTATTTATTGGTGTGTGTGTGTGTGTGTGTGTGTGTGTGTGTGTGTGTGTGTGTGTACGGTGTGTGTGTGTGTGTGTGTGTGTGTGTGTGTGTGTGTACATGTGGGTGTGGGTACCCACAGAAGTCAGAAGAGGGTTTCAGATCCCCTGGAGCTGGAGTTACCAGAAGTTGTGAGCTGCCTGACCTGGGTGCTGGGAACTGAACTCAGGTATCCTGGAAGAGCAGCAAGTGCTCTTAACTGCTGACTCATCTTGCTAGCCCTTGTTTCTCTTGCTGCAATGAAAACTTCATAATTGTGAGACAGATTCTGGGGCAGCAGCATCTCTCTCCTGAAACCTTATTTCAGTGGGTGGTTGCAGATGCATGTCTGAGCTATCTCTGGAAGGATGAATGGGGGGAGACGTATACCTGTGTAAAGGGTGTAGGGTAATGAATGGCACATAGTAAGCCCATATTTAAGAGGAGGTAAAGGGCTGGGGAGATGGCTCTGTGGGTGAGGTGCCTGCTGTGCAAACATGAGGGCCTGATTTCCATCACAAACACCCATGTAAAAAGCCAGATGTGGTGGTGTGCACTTGGAATCCCAGAGCTGGGAGGAGGATGCAAATGATCACACTGACCATCTAGCCTAGTCTATTTGGTGAGCCCCAGGTTCTAAAACAAGGTGGCTGACTCCCGAGAAGCAACATTGGAGATTGACCTCTGTCCTCCACATACACGCACATATGGGAAAATGCACACACACACACATATGCACTGCACACATATACCTGTACACGTCTGCACACATACCTGCATGCACATCTTCATACATATATCTGCATGCATATCTGTAAACACACATACATACACATACCTGCACATACACTTGTACATACATACATGTACCTGAATACACATACCTGCACACACACTTGCACTTCACACACACACACACACACACACACACACACAGTAGATGATGAGAAATGAGCGTATGAAAATACCGAGTGTTTTTAAAGATGGTGCTGGTCACACATGAAAGAGTGAGTGACATTTATTCAGTCATTAGAACTGGGCAAGTGAGAGCTTATGCACAGTACAGGTGGACTGTGTGGTGGTAATCTAGTTTCATGTTTGCCCTCATCTTTGTGTGACTGCGGTCATTCCAGTGCACAAATATCTGTTGAAATAAGCGAGGAATGAATTTCCAGCTGGATGGAGGCTTCTTCAATTCTAAATATACCCTGTCATGGTGGTACATGCCTGTAACCTCAGCACTTGGGAAGCAAGGCAGGGTCACTACAAGTTCCAGGCCAGCCTGGTCTGCATATTAAGTTTCAGGCCAGTTAGATCTATATATTGAAACCCAGTCTCCAAATTAAAAAAAAAAATCTATGAAGTTGATGAAGGGCGGATCCTGGTTTGTGGGGGAAGTGCCAGCATCACAGTGATGACTCTTTTGGTGTGACTCACTTCTCTGCTGCTCCTTGTGGCCCTGGTGTGTGCTCCAGCTGTCACTCTGTACCTCCTGCTTAGGTGTCCAGATGTTAAAGGGAGCACTTCACCTTCCCTGTGCCCACATTCACCTTTGAGGTGCTGGGAGTAGAGAAGTCACCTCGCGACTGCATGGACCCACAGTCATAGGCTACTAGTAGTTGTTTCTCCTTCATCCCAGTCAACAGATTTGAGGGAACCCCCTTTATGATTTACCACAGAGGCAAACGATGTCACCATTCAGCAGTCTTGTTAGCTCAAAGCAGTTTCTATAGAGAAAAGAACCTTCCTAATCCTAAAGCAATTTAAATTCTAGCCGTCTCTCCCTCACCCCCACCCCTAGATGCTGTAGCTTTCCTCTCTGTTTCTCATATCACACTGTCACACTCTAGCAATTAGTAATTCTAAAATAATAGAAACAATCATTAGTAATGTATAATTATCTTCTCTTTGAAAGTATAAGATCCTTTAGCATGAATTGTCTTGCCAACAGATCATAATTCATCTTGATAACAGGTTTGATGGAGTTACGGGAGATGTGAGTCTGGCTCATTAATGTTATTATTGTTTTTAAACGCTCAGTGGCAATGATGCTTCCTAAGTATTAATTAATCGTCATGACTTCTCTGAGAAGTAGGTTAAATATAACTAAATTCATTCCACTAGAAGAGAAATTGGCAAACTGGCAATGTCCTCGACAACTCCCTCTGTTTTCAAGGCATCAGAGTGCATAGATGGGAATAGCTGAATTGGACTCATTTTCTGTGGAGCTAAGTAGATGTGACTTTTTCGTACTACAAGTAACTACTCCTCCAAAACAGAAAGTCCCTGAATGTCCATACTGAAATAATGAAAAAATTGTAGCAAGCAATAAAGTTCTGAGAAATATTAACTGAGGTTAAAAAAAATGAACCTTTTCTATTTTTTTTTCTTTCCTTTGGTCTTTTTGAGACAGGGTCTCCCTGTAGCCCCAGCTGTCCTGGAACTCACTATGCAGACCAGGCTGGCCTTGAACTCACAGAGATCCGCCTGCCTCTGCCTCCTGAGTGCTGGGATTAAAGGCATGTGCCATAATTTAATTTGTGTGTGTGTGTTGTATGGGAGGGTGCATACATGTCATGGTGCATGTGTGGAGGTCAGAGGACAACCCTGAGTGCCAGTCCTCTCCTTCCAAATTGAGGTAGGCTCTCTCTTGCTGTCGCTGTATATATACCAGGCCACTTGGCTCCTGTCCCAAAAGCTCTGGGATTACAGATACCTGCCACCACATCCAGCTTTTATGTGGGCTCCAGGGACCTGAACTCAGGTTGTCAGGCCTGTGTGAAAAGTGCTCTTACCTGCAGAGCCATCTCCTTGGCCTTGAATAAAATCAAGAGACTTTTTACATAAAATGCTTAAACTCGCTACATTAACATCAGTGGATCATCATAAATGCCTTGTGAACTCAACTCCCTTCTTTGCCCTCAAAATTTACCCAGATCCCTAGAGGTTTATGATTCAGTCATCAACAGTTGCATTTATTTAGTATTTTTCCTCTGAAATACTTGAGACTTTACAGAGAAGAATCAGGAGTCTGCAGGACCGTGTGGCTCAAGGGTTAGGGCATGGGTTCAACACTAAGGTCTGCCATCACCAGCCGGGCAAGGTTCTCTCAAAAAGCTGTTTGTCTTCTCTTGATATGTTTTCTTTTTTGCAGACCATCTTACCTCATAAATTATGGGAACCAGAGAACAAAGGTAGGGTGCCTCATACCTTAAAAGTGATCAACAATAGAGCATGCTATTAGTCTCATAAATCAATGACTCAGCCCCAAAGATCTGAAAAGAGAAAAGATTATTTCTTGATTGGAGACTGGGGCAGGAGGTGTGCACATTTAGATGTCTTGCTTAATATGACAGCCCTTGTTGAATGGGCTTTCGTTTAGTACATATATGTAAAACTCCTCTTGGGCCGGTGAGATGATTCAGTGGGTGAAGTGTACTTGCTGCCAAGGCTGACGACCCGAGTTTGATCCCTGGGATCCAAATGATAAAGAAGGAGAACGGACACCCGTAAGTTGTCATCTGACCTCTACTAGACACATGAAGTGGCACGCACTTACCCATACACAGTACAGACACACTCGCACATGCATATGTACACAAATAAAGCTCTTAATTCAAATAGCACTTAGTATATAGAGGGTAGGAAAAATATTTTGGAGCGAGTGAGCGAGCGCTAGGGAGTTTTAAAATGGAGAACAGATGACTCCAGTGCCAGTGGCCTCTGTGGTGCTGCTGGGGTTAGCTTGTGAAGGCCCCCCACAGGCTCCTGTATTTGAACTTGGTCTCCAGCTGATGGCACTGTTATGGGAGATTGTGGAACTTTTAACAGGCGAAGCCTAGCTAGAAAAGTGGGAAACTGAGCAGGCGGTGGGAGGAGAGGCTCTTGAGGGATACAGGGCATCTCCCTTCATATTTGACTTTAGCTCTCTCTGCTTCCTCGTCCGCCCACATGTGAGGACCAAGTTGCACAGTAGGCTCCTCACACCATGAGTTCTCCACCGTGATGGACTGTATTTCTTGAATTATGATTCAAGAAATAAACGTCTCTTTTAAGCTGCGTCTGTCAGGCATTTTCTCACAGCACAGAGGAAAGTAAACAACACTGGTACCCTTGCTTATCTGGATCTCATTTGAATGCTAGTGATTCAAGAACATAAGATAGGGGGTTGAGGGCGAGGAGGAGGATGCCCAGGAAGGTCAGCCAGCAGGTACTGGGGGGGGGTATCCCTCTTCAGGAAAATACCGGAATCAGGAGGGGAGAGGTGGGGAATTTGGGGAGACATGGCATTTTACCACAGGTTTTCCTTCAGTTTTTAAAACAGAGTTTCTAGATTTATGCCTTAAAAATGAAGGCACAAAGGCGAATTGTGCTACAACCATGAAGCTAGTTCTGCTTTAAGTCTTAAAAGGAAGTTCCCGATTCAACTCCTCGGGTTAAAACTACACATCCTTAAGTAGAGACAATGAACAAACAAACCATAAAGGACCCTGCATTGGTTCCCATGGAAACAGAGCATCGGCTGATAACTGGGACTCACCTGTGTAGATATACTCCACATAGGCAGGGTGAGTTTTGCTGAACACCTCTTTCACTTTTTCTATTTTATCAGGTCTTATTTTTGTCGCAAACGGTGTGTACATAACTGAGAAGGCCTCGGCTCTGGTGATGGCTTCCTCAATCATGGCCTGGGAGGCAGCAAAAAACGCAGTTGGCATCAATAATAACATATGACTTTTTGAGCATGTAAAAATATAATTACCTTTATGGATGATTTAAAAATCTATATACTGTACAGCCAAGATAACATATTTTTGGTCTTAAATATTCATTAGAACAAAATTTAATTAGTTTTGAAAATACTAGTTCATATTCAGAAATCCAATTAACTGAAAAAGTTTGTAAACAGCCACCTGTACCCCGAGCTTGTCTGAAGATTAAAAATAAAAATTCTATTTTTCAAGGTGTCATTTTCTTTAGTTGATTTAGAAAATCAAATTCTTCATGCCAGCATTTAAACTAACCTACTGATAAATAGACATTAGTGATCAATTTATTAAAGTGTTTTTAAAACCATCTGGATTTAAGTATTTTTATATAAAAGCTGGCAAGTTGGACACATGTGTTATTCTCTTCTTCTGAGAGCTAGGGGAGCCCTTTGGAACAAGGAGAGCCTTTCTCCACTTTTCCCAGGCCAGCATCTTCACCTCCAGACCACAAGTGGCATTCAGGATGGTTTGAGCTACTTAAGATACCTCTTTAAATTAAATTTGCTTACTTACTGTTCTTACCAGAGACCTGCCATCACCCCCAAAGTTTCTGTTTTAAATAGTTCCATGACTACTTGTAAGAGATTTAAAAAGTCATGCCAAGTTCTAAGAGGAAGCTATTCCTAAAATTTTCCTTCTGAAAGAGGTTTGAAGGCTGAAGAAAAAGGTGTGTCTGTAGCTACCTCAGTTTTCTGAAAAGAGCACAGAAGTGTATTTTATTAACAGTCCACATTTATTTGTAATAACAACTTCCTCTGACAAGACTACCTATAACCAATAAGAAAAAAAATAGATTGAAACTGTGTAACTGTGGAAAAACCTAACAAACAGCAATTTATACCATTATCAATATAATATTTTGAGAAGCATTAATATGATTAAAAACAAATTTTTTTTAACTTAAAAATGATCTAGGGGTACATAGACCCTGTATAGTATTCATGCAGGTACGAAACATATTTTGAGTACCCCCCTGGCCCCTCACCTCTCATTAATCCCCTTTGTTCCTCAGACAGTTTAGCCTCTCCTTTCACATCATTATTTTCTATGATTTTATGTATCTATGACATCTAGGACCCACAAACAAGAGAAAGAGGCTGATTTAATTCACTTAATATGATTAACTCCAGTTATATCTGGCTTTCTGCAATTGACATAACTTCATTCTTCTTTATGGCTGAAAAAATTCCATTGTTTTTATATATCACCCTTTTTTGGTCTTTTTGAGACAAGGTCTCCCTATAGCCCTAGCTGGCCTGGAACTCACTATGTAGATGAGGCTGGCCTCGATCTCACAGAGATCCACCTGCGTCTGACTCCCAAGTGCTGAGATTAAAGGTGTGCACCACCATACCTGGCTATGTATCACATCTTTATAATCCATTCACTGTCGTTGACACCGATGTTGTTACCATAACTTAGCTGTTGTGAATAGTGCTGTGCAAAGCATGGATGGGCAAGTGTCTCTGCGAAATGTTGACCTACAATCTTTTGTGTCAATACTGAGACATGGTACATGCAGCTGGGTCCTAAGGTAGTTCTATTTTCAGTTTTTCCTGAGGAACCTCTATACTGATTTCTACAGTGTCTGGACTGGTGTAGACTCCCGCCATCAGTGCCTCAGAGTTCCTTTGTGAATCCTTGCCCACTTTTGTTGTTATTTGTTTTCTTTTTTATTGTGAGAGAATGACTTTTAATGAATAATATCAATAGCGGGCATCAACCCTTACTTGAAAAAGGAAATCTAATTGAAAATTTGGAAAAGGATTAATTCTGGAAATTATTGTGTTCTCAGTTTTGAATCTGCACCCATTCTTGTGGTAGTACCATGCTGTTTTTGTTACTATGGCTCTATGGTGTAAACTGAAATCCGGTATAGTCTTTTTGCTCAGGGTAGCTCAGGTTTTGTCTCTCTGGGCCCTTTGTGCTTCTGTATGGAGTTTAAGATTGTTTCTATTGCTGTAAAGAATGATATTGGAATTTTGATAGTGATTCCATTGAATCTGTGGATGGCTTTTGGTAGAATAATCATTTTCACAATGTTAATTCTTCCAACCAATGAGCATGGGAGGTCCTTGCATTAAGTCGACTTAAACAAAGTAGCCTAATAGAGTGTATTCATTGCTTGTTCCATGCCTCAGTGACTGCATGTGGCTTTTAGAATCATCTGTGTTGTCTACAAAAGGAATTTTTCTCTTTATGATGTGAATCGTTCTCCTTCCTCTGATACTGACATTAGAAAGATTTGTGAATAGGCTTCAATAAATGCTTGAACGATTGAGTGACAGAAAACATTGCTCATAACATTGCGTTTGCAAGTTCAAAAAATTGAAAGGGTTGAAGAATAGAATTGTGGAGTTGCCCATGGCTGTGAGTATGTGGTAGGGTCTGGGGCTAGTGTGGACCAGCTTTGGAAGGCTAACCAGGACAGTGGCAGGCTGCAAGTCTGGAATTCAGAGATGCAAATGAACAGCTCCAAGATATGTGTCCTTCAGTAAAAATAAAGAGAAGGAGAACCAGTTCCTTCAGTGTGTGCTCACAGCTGGAGCCAGCCAGGGAGGGCTGCTTCGGACCAGGCCGGTGCAGTCACTTGAAGGTGTGCAGGGCCATCCGCAGGAGCGTAAGGCTGCTGTGGACTTCATATTAGGGTCACTACTGGGCTTTGCTGTTTAGATCATTGCTGGCTCTTGTATTAGGAAGCTGGGGCTACCATAATAGAGGACCATGGAGTGAGGGGCTGAGAACAACAAAATTTATGTCCCCAGAGTTCTGGAGGCTCAGGAGGCAGCAGGCTTAGCTTCTTCTGAGGCCTTTTTCTTTCTCTTGGGGATGGTTGTCTTCTCTCTGTGTTTTCACATCATCTTTCTTCTCTGTGTCACTTTATTTTATTTATTTTTGCAGTGCTGGAGATTGAATCCAGGGCCTCCTGAATTGAGGCATATGCCCCACCACTGAGCTACATTCTCAAATCCATCTTTGTGCATCTTAATCCCCTCTTTATGACAACATTCATATTGGGCTAGGGTCCACCGTAAAGAACTAATTTTAACTTAACTTCTTTCAAAAATCCTCTCTAAATACGGTTTCGGAGGCACTGGGAGTTAGTACTACACTTGAATATATTTAACTGAGGTGAGGACCAAAGTCAATCCACTACAGTTTTTAATCCCCCGAAAGCTTTCTATTGGTTTTTCTGAATATCTTGGCATTGGGCATTTTGTCTTAAATTCTGGCTGAAAAAAATTAGTGAAGGTATTTAATCTTCCAGCTTGCTTCCAGAAAGATATTAACAGAATCCCAGTCAGGACAGGACGGGAGAAACATTCTCTCCACCCCAGTGCTTTTCCAGTCGCTGGCAGAGCAGCCTGGCAGCGTCATCTCCCAGCAGGGATGACAGTGCTCAGGCCCAAGAACTTGCACCAGCTTTTCTGCACGTGGTGATGTGTGATTTTCACATGGCAGTTCATCTGCTCATGGACAGATCTGTGCCCTTGGTTTATTGCTTCGGGCCTTGCATTCAGGTCTTCATGTGACTTTCACACTAGAAAGACTATGTTTGCAAGAGAGGGGGCTCCTTTCCACCAGGAACCAGCAGGTGCTTCTTTTCGCTCCTGTTCTATGCCCTGGACATGCCTAAGTGGGTGAATGAGTAGATCGCCTACACAATGGATGAACAAGAACTCAATTTCCCAGCTGGGTGCGCTGGCTCATGTCTAGGATCCCAGCCCTTGGAGAGGTAGAGGTGGGAAGACCAGGGATTCAAGCCCAGCCTTGGCTACATGAGACCCTGTCTCATTTTTTTTTCTTTTTTAGAACAAGAGGATACTTGCTCAAAGGAAATACTATAGCCTTAAGGAAAAAAAAGGATTCTAACCATAGAATAGAAATAAGAATATGGGTTATCCTTGTGCTCTGGATCCTGAAATATCCTTGATGTGTTTTAATGTAGAGTTGTTCGTTGTTCTGGAGACAGAACATCTTGGAACTTTGATCCTGTCCCATATTGCTCTTGTAAAAGAATAGACTAACAGGATACACATTGCTCAGACATGCTGTTATATTATTAGAGAACTGGTTAATGAGACAATCTAGGAAAAATTTGAAAAATTTGATTATTTTGGCTTAGACACAAAAAAATTGTATTTTCATTTTGTAGTGACAGTAATCTGTCAATTAGTTTTATTCCTGGGCTGACAAAAAGACATAAAATGGCATATATTAATGGGATACCATGTTTTTTTTGGGTGCCCATTATACCTTATCAGTCAGGGTAAGCATACCTGTCAGCTCAATCATTTGTTAATTCTTTATGCTGAAAACCTTCAATATCCCTCCAGCTTTTGGAGATAGTGCACAGTTGTCATCTCTAGTCATTTGCAGTCATACAATCAAAAATTATTCCTAACTAATTGCAACTTAGTACTCATTGACCAAAGTCCCCACCCCCAACCCATTCTCCTCATCCTCAAGGAACTGTCCTTTCTTTTAAAAAAATTTTTACTTATTTTATGTGTATGAGTGTATTGCCTGCATGTGTGTAAGTGCACCCATGTCATGCAATGCCTGAAGAAGTCAGAAGAAGGTGTCAGATTCCCCTGGAACTGGAATTATGGACAGTTGTTAGCTATCATGTGGGTGCTGAGAATTGAACCTGGGTCCTTTGTAAGAGTAACCAGTGCTCTTAATGGCTGAGTCATCTCTCCAGCACCAAGGAACTGTCCTATCTTCAGTTGCTATGAACTAACCCCTTTTTACATCCTGTATATGAGATTATGGGCTCTCTTGCTTTCTGTACCTGGCTTATTGCACTTAACATAATGGTCTCCAGTTCCATCCATGTTGCAATAGTTCAAGGGATATCATTCTTCTCAGATTTTTATTATTTTTAAATTGTGTATATGTGTGTCTGTGTGTGTATG